ACATCCTTTTGTAAAAACTGAACAATTTAATTTTTTTATTCATCTTTCCTTAAATTCTGCACTTTGGCATATTTAATTATGGAGAGATTATTTCATGAATGTAGATAATGCAATTACTGTTTATTAATATATACACACTACTACATACATATTTATATACATATATATTTTTTTTGTATTCAGTGGTGACATTCTACGCCACTCTGGGAGAGGACGCGATTGCATTTGGACTAAACGAGGCTGAAGTGACGCATCTAGTCACTAGCGTGGAGCTGCTCGAGACAAAACTAAAAGTGAGTGGATCCTTTTTAAAGTAGCAGCTGTATCGGTCCACTGGTTTAGTTCCTGTCTAAAGACCGACCAAATTCATTATGAAAGTGATTTCCTGCACATTGTGCTTGTCAAGCCACTTGTCTATTCTATATGAGGTAATCCTTTTACTAGCGGGTACTAAAGGATTACCTTAATTGAATAACAAAGTGTGAACAACATCAGCAGTTTTAGATTCCTACCTTTTATTCCAGTTAAGTTTACATTTATCTTTTTTATTTTTGTTTTGGTATCCATTCTAAAGGTTAAAGTCAGCGAAGATAGACCAAATGAACTGGTCTGATTAGGCGTCCCCTCCTAATGGCAGCTTTGTCTCCTCTTTCTGCCCAGAATGTGCTTCCACAGATCCCAAAACTGAAGCACGTGATCTACGTGGACCAAAAGAAGCTGAACACAACATGCTACCCAGCGGGATTGTCCACCCACAGCATGCAGGAGGTGCAAGAGCTGGGCGCGCTGCCCGAGAATAGTGCGTATTTGTCTGGTTTGAGATGTGCTGCTATTTCAAAATTGACTTGTACGCGCAATGAAAGGAAATACTGAAGCTTTCTTTGAATTCAGTCTAAAGCTTTGTATTTGCTCCATTGCATTGTTGATCCTTGACCTGTGTTTGTGTCCCTGTCCTGCAGTGGGGAGGGCGATTATGAAGCCCCAGCCCTCCGACCTGGCCATGGTGATGTACACCAGCGGCTCCACCGGCACACCGAAAGGAGTCATGATCGTCCACAGCAACCTGATAGCGGGAATGACGGGCCAGTGTGAACGCATTCCTGGACTTGGGTGAGTCAGTCAGTCAGACATGTAATTTTGAATGCTAAACCAATGCCGTTTGCACAGGATCCCATGAGGTAGCTAACCTTTACCCCCCCGACCCCATGTGTTGTGGCAGGCCTAATGATACTTACATAGCCTATCTGCCCCTGGCTCATGTTCTGGAGATGACCGCGGAAATCTCCAGCGTCACATATGGCTGTCGGATCGGCTACTCGTCCCCTCAGACGCTATCAGACCAGGTAAAACCACGGCAGCCACTTCCATTCGTCATGCTGCAGTTTTTCATCACACCTAGGTGTGGGTACTAATGCCTTGTTGCCATGCCCTTTCGCGTGTGTGTGTGTGTGTGTGTGTGTGTGACCTCGGTTTTTTTATTGTTTCTATCTTCTGTTCCCTTTAGTCCACTAAGATAAAGAGAGGAAGTAGAGGAGACAGCTCTGTGCTCAAACCCACCTTGATGGCAGCTGTGCCAGTAAGGAATCTCTGTCCATCCCTCACTTCTGTCCTCCTTACAAATGTTTCCTTTATCTACCTCTCCTCAAATGTATACAGTTAATGTATTTATTCTCTCTCCTTAAAAGGAAATTATGGACCGCATCAACAAGAATGTGATGAGCAAAGTGCAGGAAATGAATATCATCCAGAAGACGCTGTTTACGCTGGGCTACAAATATAAACTAGAGCAGATCAGGAGGGGCTATGACGCACCACTCTGCAATGCGTAAGCAAACCACCTGTGACTTTGTTTGTTTTTTCTTTGGAAATGTGCTTGTTGTGGTCCAGTTTAAATCAACCACCGGGCTCTTTGACTTTTGCAGCCTGTTGTTTGGGAAAGTGAAGAAACTCCTTGGGGGTCGTGTGAGGATGATGATGTCTGGAGGAGCCCCGCTGTCCTCGGCCACGCAGAGGTTCATGAATGTATGCTTCTGCTGTCCAGTGGGTCAGGGTTACGGCCTCACGGAAACCTGTGGGGCCGGAACCATCACAGAGGGTAAGATTAGGTGGGATACTTTAGATTAATAAGGGGGAAAGAAGAAGAAGAAAGAAGATTAAGAAAATAAAGTCTGATAATATGTTGTTTCCTAATTCTACAGTTGCGGACATCAGCACTGGTCGGGTTGGAGCTCCTCTGATCTGCTGCGAGGTCCGGCTCAGGGACTGGGCTGAAGGTAGGTTTGAAAGAAACTGTTTGCATAAGCCGCACCTTTTTTAGTGAGTATTTTTGCAATTAATTGTTACTTATACATGATCATTTTCCAATCATAGGCGGCTACACCAGCAGAGACGAGCCAAACCCAAGAGGGGAAATCTTGATCGGCGGCCCCAACGTCACCATGGGTTACTACCGGCAGGAGAGCCACAACGAGGACTTTTTTGTAGATGAAAAGGGTCAGAGGTGGTTCTGCACAGGAGACGTGGGCGAGGTTTACGCAGACGGCTGTCTCCAGATAGTGGGTGTGTATGTTCCTTCCCTCACTTATTACCCAGGGCTGTGGATGTGTCCTCTGATGGCGCCTGTGAAAGGCGCGCCATGCACTTTCCGATTTCATAGCACTGTCATGCAGACTTCCTGGTTGTAATTTAAAACAGGGAAGCGCTCTGTGCTCGATTTTTAAAAGTGCGTGATTGTCAAGCCATTTAATTTGTTTTTCCCATTCCAAATTAGATCGCAAGAAAGACTTGGTTAAGCTGCAGGCCGGGGAGTACGTGTCTCTTGGTAAAGTGGAGTGCGCTCTGAAAAACTGCTCTATCATAGACAACATCTGCGTTTATGCAAACAGGTGAGTGCGTTGCCCTAATTCGTTTAGGAACGAATTAAAAGGGGATGTGAATAGCGTGTATAATAGTGTATTCCTAGACTTCAGCGTCTAATCATGTCCATTTTTTGAAGCCGTACATGTGATGTACTGTGAGAACCACTTGCTTACATTTTATTTTTTCTTCACTTAAATGTCCAGTTACCAGGTTCTTATAGTCAGTTCTTTTGGATGTAAATAAAATCAATGAAATCCTTCCTCTCAGTTAAAACGACCCTGATCAGTGTCATTTGGTTTGTTTACGAGGTCAAACGATCACATGTTTAAACTTTGTAATGCTGTTTGAATTCTCAAAATACCCTCTACAGATGACCTCTTAAATAATTTTCAGACGTCCCACCGCTGTGTTTTTAAATGTCATGTCAGCTGACATTTAACGGCTTATACACTGTCTGGAATGGTGGAGAAACTCTTTTCTCCTAAAAAATGAAATCATTTTTAGCATCAACTACTAGGATTGTGAGATTTTCAGAACTTAAAACTTAATGTTGTAATGTATTATTCAAATCATCCTTAAATCTATTTGTAATCGACTTTTCAGTGCGTTAAGCTTCAGCTGCATCGACAAATTGAGTGAGCACTTTCCCAACTTTAATCCCCACATACAATCAGATTAACACCTCAACTTGCTTCAGTGCTTACCCGTCAATCCAACCGTGTACATCAATTGCTTTCCAACTGGTTCAAGTTTTTTTTTCTCTCGTGCTTCAATATGACTGAGCACAGATGCATCTTTATCCGTAGCCTTTCTTTCAACTTGTTTTATATTTTATATATTTTCAGTGACCAGAACTATGTGATCAGCTTCGTGGTTCCCAACCAGAAAACGATGACCGTACTGGCCAAACAAAGAGGCATAGTGGGAGCATGGGAAGACATCTGCACGCACCCGGACATGGAGAGGGAGGTCCTGAAGGAGATCAAGGAGGTTGCTGCTAACAGTAAGACACGGCTGTGTGTTTTCATAGTAGGGTGGCGTGGCTGTAGTGATCGTGTCATACTCGTGTCCTCATCTGCTGTTTGTGATACATTTTGAGTTTGAACATAGCTTGTCTTCTCTTATAATTCTCGTATTTTGTGATAAATGCGAGTGAGCACCAGTGTTCTCTTCCTTTCTCTCATATAGTTAAACTCCAGCGATTTGAGATTCCAATGAAGGTGCATCTGAGTCCAGAGCCGTGGACCCCTGAGACGGGCCTCGTCACAGATGCGTTCAAGCTGAAGAGAAAAGAGCTGAAGAACCACTATCTCCACCACATAGAGAGAATGTACGGGGGCAAATAACGTGTCTCACTCAAAGCGTCGCCACTGTAACCATTACCACTGTAAATAGTCCTCCCAGTGGTACCCAAATGGATCTGTATGCTGTTTGTGTCCCACCAAATGAAAATGTGTTGAACAGAGAAGCTGTAATTATTTGTAGTTGTGATCCATGTGACCTGCTTTGTATTTATTTATTTAAGTGTACACGGTCAACGACATGCACTAGAGTAACAACTGTAGAAAAAAGTCACAAGACAGTTTACGGCACATCAATGGCACCCACTTAAGTCTGCTGGCTCTGTTTGTAGCTGAATTAAAAAAAAAAAAAAGTACCACTGTGGCCCATATGTTGCAAAGCTTTGTTGTTCAATTGAAAATGTTAATTTGTAGTTATCAGGGAGGCTTGTATTTTGTTAACTAGAAGTACTAATGCTGTGCCTTCGCTCTGCAGCACCTGTGTAGTTAAGCAGAAGTGGCATTGAGTTAGAAAAAATAATAGTTCACGCTTTTTTTGTGTGAAAAATAAATGCTTTTCTGCCATGTTTTACTTGAATACCCACCAAGAGACTGTACTCTTAAAGAGTACTGAAAGATCATGTAGATTGAGCATACTCGTGAGCATGTCTATCAACATACTTTCTTTTTCTTACAAATATTTAATTTATACTTTTGCTATTGTCGATTTATTTGGTGAGACCAAATGTATGAACCTAAATGACTCAGGAAAATAAGCAAATGTTTTAATACAGTATCGGTGTCCATTAGTGGGTTACTAGTACAGAAAGCCCTCTAGTCAAGGTTCTGGTGGGAAGTGTTTTTAAGTTCAAGCATGTTTTGCAATAAAGATGTGTATTTGCATTAGCAAGTCATAGCTGGTTATGATACGATGTTCTTCGCTTCCGTTCCTGGGTTAATGTACATTTTGGTGTAAAGTTTAACAGAGTCTAGTTTGATCCTTTTAATGAAGGTGTATTTATCCAAATGTGTTGATGGTGTCTCATCAAACCTTAAAGACGCACACATTCACAATTGTTTTACATTTGGTTGTCTTTTTTTGTATTTATTACTCCATCATGAGCATATTGCCCTGTTCAACATTCAAGAATAAACACTTTTTTGCATCGTGTGGTGTTTGTTCATTTCTGTTTCTAATTACTGTTGAGTGTTCATACATTTTAGATCAGGGGAGCTTCAGCTATTCCAATCTTGAAAACGAAAACAGTCACTTGCAATCTTCCAAACAGGCTGGTCGTTGTTGGGTGTAGCCTGTGCTGTTAAAAGAAAGTTCTGGTTGAAGAAACGCTGTTTGTTCCCTTCGAACTTCACCGTCCCACCAGTCACCACGAGCAGTGTGGTCTGACCTTGGGTAGCTTGCTCTGTGAATGAAGAAAAAAGGGTTGATTGATTAGTGCAACTTCACATGCAGAACATCAGGTTATTAAACAGATCTCAGCTTGATAATTTCACTCCAACTCAAAACATGCACCACATTTTCATGCACAGTTCTCCATTCTAATCTGAGAATCCAACACAGCACTTAAATATAAATATATTGAGATCGACCCACTGACCATGAACTGGCTGGCAATCCAGGGTTTGAACTTGGAACTCGCTCGAAGGCAAAGACTCAAAGAACTCGCTGAGGGCCTCCTGTCCTGACACGGCATTCCCATTCCACACCAAGGTCGACTTGTCCAGGTACAGTCGGGTCAAGTTCTGGGACAAACACAATCGTTAGAAAAAATGATAACACTGACCACCAATGCACTCTGCTCCACCGATGCTGGATTAGTTTTCTGTTGAAAAGGTAAAATTGACATTGCTTACTGTCAGGGGTGAAAGTAACGAATTACAAATACTCACATTGGTGTAATTAAGTAGATTTTTTGGATACTTTTACAAGTATTTTCTTCAAGTGTGTAATTTTACTCACACTTGAGTACAATTTACACCATGTAATCTACTTCGCTACTTTTAAAATCAAAAGTCGCTATTGAGTATGCCAATTATGCCCACAATTTAAAATAATATTCAAACTGTCAGATTGTTGTTTTTTCAATGCAAATCATTATTGGCTGTCAGATCGCGCTCTTTTAATTATTCTAAGACATAATATAAGCAAAGGCCAACTCGCTGCTGCAGCAGGGAAATGTTTCTGGGGGTAAAATACACAGCGGTGTAACGAGTGGACTGAGAATTTGAGAAAGTAGCCAAAATGGAGTGACCAGGGAAAATGGCTGTACCTGGAGGAATATTTCATTTACCAAGGGAGAAAATGAGACAGCGTCCAGATGAAGTGCAAACTTTGTTTTACCAACAAGGTGATATCTAATCTGCTTACATCACTTCAACGTCTAATCTAAAAAAACACATTGCGGTAAGAGCTTTTACAACTATACTTGTATGATATGGCTTTCATTTTTTGTCATGTGTTTTGGTTATTCATTTGGCTATGATAAGTCTGCCATTGGTTAGGCTGATAATAAAACGGAGCGAGCTAAGGTGTGGAGTCAGTGGGTTACCTGCCGCCATTCAGACATCCCACTAGTCCGACATGGGCCTCAAATTGACGGACTGGCGACACTTTATTTTCTATCAAACGTCCCGTCGTTCTGACACTTTTTTTCCTCCTATGGTCAGAATGGCGGTATGATTTTTTTTTTTTAAACATCCTGCCCTTGCGACAATTCCTTTAATAGCCTATTAAAACCTTTTTTATTTGAGGAACTCCGCAACCTCGCAAACCAACTTTAATAATCTATTATCAAAATCCCCTGAAATTAGTAGTATAAGGCTATAAGTTAGTTAGTAAATAAAAAGAATTAAAAATATTTCAAAAATTAAAAAATAAAGTGCACTAGCGAACAGGAAGTGAAAAAAGCGAACAGGAAGGGACACAGGTGGCTTCTTGAGCTTACAGGGTAAGCTAACCATGAATAAATCCAAAAAAAGTCTATTATATTATATATATATATATAAAATAATATTTTGAAACATTAAGTTGCGGCTTAATGTTTTATTTATATTAAAGTGGGCTGGTCTTTATTTCATATTTATACAAATATGGGAAGGATTCAAATAGAACAGCATAGTCCAAAGTTTGATTTATTTCAAAGTAGGCCTACACATGCACACTGCACTTGTTTGTTGTATTCTGTGGTAACAGATACAATTAAAAAGGTTAAAATTAAAGATAATCAAAGATTAAAACTTTACAACTTAAAAGCTGTGTTATGGGTTTTTTGCGGCTATTTTTCTTTGGTGAAAAAGGGGGCAAAATGATAATAAAGGTTGCAGAGCACTAGGCTGATACAGTTGATCAATATCATTTATTATTCAAACATTTTATTTTTTAATTAAAAATGTACCACTTTTTTATACTATGCTAAACAATCAAATTTAAAAAGTAATTGGTACTTGATACAGTTGATCAATATCATTTATTATTCAAACATTTTATTTTTTAATTAAAAATGTACCACTTTTTTATACTATGCTAAACAATCAAATTTCAAAAGTAATTGGTACTCTGAGTAGTTTTTGAGAAGAATACTTTTACTGAAATATTTTTTTAACACGAGTACTATATATAAATATTAGATCAGCCTAAACCACAGCGGTAACGGCTTTGTTGATATATTTTTGTGCCATAGTGCGCTCATACACATTATTCGCAATCAGATTTTCAATCGAGAGAACCGAATAAAAACACCACTCACCCTCCTTTTCTTATCCATGCAGTCGTAATAAATGTTGACAAATTCTTCTGAATATCTGCATGACTGATCGACATGGGTCCTGAAATCCTACAGCGGAAAAAAAGTGGTCACGATCAATCAAAGTCAAATACAGCTTGTGAACATCGTTTCCAGGTCAGCTCAATGTAGAAGATTAACTTTACGTTGAACATCGGGAAAAAAAGTTAATGTTAACCGGAAGCATGCAGAACAGCTCCCCGGATGCATTTGCAGTTGGCTCGCAAAACAACACGTTAGCAGGGTGATTTTCGGCGTAACTGTGTAACATTCAAACTTACCAGCGTATTCGCCATAATATAAAGTTTAATCGGACAAATGCTGAATATATATATTGACAGCGGGAAATAATTCCCACCAACAGTTTAGTCTTTTCTTCTTCTTGTTCAAACAGCGCCTTGGCAACCAAAAGCGGCCATTTTGTATCATGTATTACTTCCTCCAGTCACCGACCATACCTACCAAAATAAAACGTTTGTACGTTCGTTCAAAATTAAGGAATGCCTATGATCGCACGGTTCCAAGCCATGTCCATGTTTTTGAAGGGACTCAAATTGAATATTACCTGAATTAATTATAAAATACCGGGTTTATTCAGTCTCACTGCAAGGTGATGCTACTGGTTGTGTTTTAATTTGAAGGGAAAGAATAACGCATGCGGAAGAAGAGCTCACGATTTCCTGAGTCATTGCTCATATTCGTTCTAACGATAAAACCAAACAACTTCTGAGCATCACTCGACTAATAATTACTACTCTAAACCATTCCTGGACATTAAAGCATATTTAGCAATGGAGGGTTCTGTATCAAATGTGGAGGTCTGTAATTTGGCGTACACTGGACAGTTTGAAAAACTAAAAGAGTGCATTCTGTTAGATAAATCGCTTGCCTGCAAAATAGACCAGGTAAGACTGCATTTTCTTTTTAATTTTGACAAGTTAAAAGTGACGTTTTTGCACGTTTTCGCCATTGTTCTTACCCATACCTTTCTGTCATCGCAGGACCGTAGGACCGCCCTGCACTGGGCTTGTTCTGCTGGACACACCAACATTGTGGAGTTTCTGCTTTATCTCGGTGTTGAAGTCAATCTGCAAGATGATGTAAGTACAATGTTTTAATGCACTATTTTTGTCATATAAGGTGGTGGAGGTGACCCTACGATATGATGTAGTCATTGTATTTCAGCAACAATCCATGCAAACAATACCCATCCACATAACCATAAAACAAGAGTGTAAATATTTGCATTTTAAGTGTTAAACGTGTTGTTTGTATGGACATTGTATTCACTGTATTTAGGGCTATATAAGTGGTATATCCACAACCAAATCTGAATGCAATAATGAAAATTACCTAGAATGTAAACGGGTGCAATATGGACTAATCTTAAAATAATCGATTTCTCTTTTTGTTGTGACTTCGCGATGATTGTGATGTTGTACTTGCTCAGGCTTTGTGGACGCCTCTTCACATTGCAGCATCTGCAGGCAGAGAAGATATTGTGCAGTCTCTAATATCCAAGGGAGCTCAGTTGAACTCCATCAATCAAAACGGATGCACCCCTCTGCACTACGCCGCCTCGAAAGACAGATATGAGGTAAGACACCCAGGCCGCAGTAACCTTTTTTGATCATTTCATCTAAATGGTGTTTAATTCTAGATTTGTATTATGTTTGCTTCATGTCTTTAAAGTAGCATACATGCAATTCAAATGATTTAATATTTTGTAGAAATATCATCTTTGTTGAAGCCCTACGTTTTTGCTAATGCCTTTTGCTTTTCTTTCATTTGTGATCATGATGATGTCAAATATTAGGCGTAAGAAAGCCACAAATAAAGTAAACAACCGTATCTTTGATGAAGACATTTGTCCCTGACCATGTATTAGCGAGGTGTGTATGAAACAAATCAATGTGATTAATTATGGTTACTATCTTATCCAAATGCTAAACTGTTCAGCCTTGAATCTATGCTGATGTTTAACCATTTATTTATTCCTCCACGCCTACTACACACACTAAGATACTTGTACTTATTAATATTTATCCTACCTGTCAGATTTGTCGTTTGCTGTTAAGTGTTATTTTAAACTCATCTATGAGTCCAACTTATAAAAATACAGTTATTATATAGTAAACTGTGTACAATTAGTATGGAATTGGAAAACAGAAAATTACTTGCTGCATATTCGTCATTCCCAGAGAGGCTGACATAATGGAAAAAGTCCCATAACACCAGACATCTAAATTGTCATGGTACTTATTTGAGGAAGTTAAGTATCTGTATTTGGTTCCCTCGTGACCCGTGGTGTGCCGAAACCAACAGAACAGGATCTCATACCATGGGTTTCGTGTGAATGGAAAGCCGCTGATTAGAAAATAGATTATTTGTCGAGGGCACGCGAGTAACACGGCTTTCCCCTCGTTACAGATCGCTCTGCAGCTGTTGGAGAAAGGAGCAGACCCCAACGTCAAAGACAAGTATGAGTCCACGCCCCTTCACAGAGCGTCTTCCAAGGGCAACCTCCGCCTCATCCAACTGCTTCTGAAGCAGAGTGCCTCGACCAACATCCAGGACTCGCAGGGCAACACACCTCTGTATGTGTGAATAAGTATCAGTCCATTTCAACGTTGCGGCCACTGGCACGAATCTACAGCCACAGCGGGATTCTTTTAGGCTGAAGTGAACAACATGCAAACATATTAAAGGCTCAGTTAAGCTAAATTCAAAACACCTTTCCGAACTTACTCTTGTAAGTTGGGTTTAATTTGCCTAAAACTTGAGGTGTTGGTGTCAGAGCTTTTTAGCCTGTGCGCTAATGAAATGGAGGTGAATTTGGTGTGTGATGCTTAGGACACTGAAAATAACTGTTTTTGTACTTACAAATACTGCAATTTTCTGTACTAGCCACCTGGCGTGCGATGAGGATCGCGTGGAGGCAGCCAAGGTGCTGGTGGAACACGGGGCCAGCATCTACATTGAAAACAAGGAGGAGAAGACCCCCCTTCAGCTAACCAAGGGCGGACTGGGCAACGTACTCCGACGGATTGTTGAGGGATAATTTCTTTACCTTTCCTGGGCTCATGCTCCAGCTCGAGTGCCCGCCATTGCAAGTTCCATCATGAGAGTTGTCATCCCAGTCAGTCCTCCCTGAGCGGCCTGGTGTGACCCCCTTCACAGGTGGAAGATGAGATAGGGTCAGGGGGAAAAGTTGGAATGTACTGTCTCGTTATCAGCTCCTCAGATGAGGGTTGTGAAACTGCTCAGACTTTAGGCTTCTCATGAAAAAACACTCTTTAGGGCACTTAGTCTAATCTGTTCCACTCTGCAGCCTAATTTCGCATTGATCTCTGACTTTTTACGTTGTGAATTGTTGCAAAAATGCCCTAATAAAATCCACTTATCAGACAGTTTAAGTATGTCTAGGATGTATTTATCTGTTGTACATACAAATTGGTGTCCTGCCCCCCCTCTGAGGGGAATGACTGAATTTTAATCTGCAGGCTGAACAGAGTTTAAAGTCCCTTCACATATCTGATACCGTGGATACGGTCATCATTATCACACAAAGTGACACCTTCTGCATCGTTTTTATGTTTTGATTTGGTCTTAGCACCAAAATGATAAGTGCCTCTGACTCATTTCACGTTTTTTGGGGAACTTCATTATATGATTACTTTGATAACTTTTAGGGAATGTTTTAGTTTCTCAGTTTCAAGATGTGTTTTCTTTAGTCTTAGAATCAAAGTAATGTGTACCTTTAGTGTTTAATGTATCGCTGTTCAATTACGCCCACTTTAAACAGTGGTGGAACAAATACTTAAATCAAAATACCAGAACCACAGCGTGAAGCTGTAACATTTGAAAATTTGTAATTTGAAATTATTTTGTTATTGGCTTAAATTATTACATAAACAGAAATTGTCATTGTCATTTTAAGTGGGTCCTTTTTTATTGGATATTCTTGGTATAGGTCTCTCAGTCTGCCTGTCTTTCTTTCTGTCTGTCTTTTTAACGGTTTTTAAAAATTAAAAAATCGTGTTTTGTCCGAGAAGCAAAACCTTTATCATATTACAGACTGTTTCAACGAGAGAAAATCTGTTTTGTCAACGTTAGAACGGTGCACTTTGGCGTTGGGCTGGGAAACGCCAATATGCAAAGATTGACCGCTCAATTGGAAACCACTTTCTTGACGTCACGCTGAGGGATGCGCAGACATGGTGCGCACACGCCGCTTCTTTCACTTCCTGGAAGCGAGGTCACATAAAACAAGTTCTTCAATCCTTGCGTTGTCCCGTAGGCGGTGTTCGCACCAACGACTGACTGAAATTAAAGACTGAACAGTCTTTACCCGTAAGGTAAATATGTAATGTTATCGAGTAACTTTTTGACCGTACGTCATTTAAAATAGCCAGGCTAATGTAGCTAGCTAGACTGTGTAGCTAACGTTAGCTAGTTACGTTGGGTAAACCTCATAACGTTATATTTATCCCGTGTACCAAACGAAGGTTGTATTTCCAGAACGCTGGTCAAAGTCCATACAGGCAATTGATACACCGTAACGATTAGCGTTACTAGCTCGTGATTACTTTGCTTTAGTCTCACCACCGAGCTGAGGTTTGTCTGCTTATTGCGGTGTCAGCTGTCAGATGATCAGCAGTTCGCTGTATTCTGTGTCTGACCTGCCAGAGAGTTCGAAGCTGCTGCGGTGTTCTGCACAGCTGCGAGGCATTTCTGGAATGTTTGGGTTTAGTCATAACTAACGTTAACTATTAACGTAAAGTACAGATTAGCTAGACCTATGTAAGTTAGCTATTCTGTTTCCTTCTGCGTTTGTAAACGCGACATTTACGAAGTTGAAAGATCATAAATTGTTTGCTACGTTAGTACTGATACTGAGTGTCGTCACAAGTCAATGGAGGTTTTGGTTTATTTGTCAGATGACGTTCAAATAATCTGATGAGAAAACAAAATGCACATTTTACGTTACAGGGCAGAGCTTGTTACTTTAGGAATCTATGATCGGGTGGAGTCTGATTATTAAATAAATATGTATCATTTCGGGTGTGGTATGCATCCCATGATGCCTTGCAACATAGTTTGACTAACCTACAGGTACCTTTTTTTTGCTATGCCACACCTACAGATGTTCTTTTTGATTTCCTGAATACAGACTGTCCTATATCCTAGTTAGAGTGGAGATGTTTTGTTTTTCCAATGGTGGTTATATTAGATGTTGGGCTGCAAAAGGATACCCATTCTTTCTCGTGTATTGCAGTGTACTGTGTCAGCTGATGATCCTGAGTCTTTGGTGCCCATCCCTCATATGGATTATATAATGCTTATATAATGCCATGTAATTTCAGGCTGGCTTTTCTCTTAAGGCCACCGTGGCCCTCAGAGAGCCTAAATGTGCCGACCGGCTTTCTTCTGCCGTACAGAAATCTATTTCCCCTCAAAATTGTCTGACTTTTATGTGGACTACTTTTTAACCTTGTGGATTCAATGAATGTATGTTATGTGTGTTGTTGGCTGTTAGCAACTTTAGTTAACTTTTTATAACAAGCAAGACATGCTTTACCTCAAAATATATACTTCTAATCCATTTTGTCTTTCTTTTTTGTCAACAGTCATTCTCTCCATCCAGTTCCACCAAGCAGTATCCTGTCTTCTTCCATCATGTGTGCTCTCAGACAAGACAACCAGTTGGAGTCAGATCACATGGCGGATTTTTCCGAGATCAACAATCGCTTGGACTCATTCCGTGGCTCCAGTCTGGCCCAGCAGGTACCAGCTGAAAGGTTGGCCCGGGCCGGCTTCTACTATACTGGCAATGCCGATCGTGTCTGCTGTTTCAGCTGCGAGAAGACTGTGGAAAACTGGTGCAGGGGAGACACACCTCTGGAGAGACATAAAGAGGTACTTATGTCATAATTTATGAAAATCAAGAGATCAACTTTTCTATTTGTTTACAGCCTCTTATAAGTTGTTAAATTAAACATTCCCCATTGTTACAGGTTTCCCCCTCATGCATATTTCTCAGCTGCACCCAACGCACCAATTTCAACCTAAGTTGTGAAAACAGACTGACTAACGGTTTTTCATACAACGAGGAGGAAGAAGACCTGGAGTATCGTTTGAGGAGAGGAGAGGTGGTGGATGAGTCCACCTACCCAATGGCCCCTCACATGAAGAGTGAGGAGGCTCGGCTTCAGACCCTGTCTACGTGGCCCTCTAGTTCTCCTGTGAGACCCCGAGATCTGGCCCAAGCCGGCCTCTATTACCTTGGCCAAAGTGACCGGGTGCAGTGCTTCTGTTGTGGTGGCATGCTGGCTGGTTGGGAAGTGGGGGACACTGCTTGGGAAGAGCATAACAAGCATTTTCCCAACTGCTTCTTCATGCTCGGTCACGATGTGGGCAACATCCCGCTGCACAGGGGGGGAGTGGAGGAGGAGAACAGCGGCAGACAACATGCAAGTGCATGTGTCCCAATGGGGAGTTTTGAGAAGAGGCTTGGCAGCTTCGCAGGCGTCTTACATCCGATTGACCACGAGAGGCTTGCCAGAGCTGGCTTCTACAGCGCAGGTACAGCTCAGACGCCTTTAGGGCGAACGTTTTTCTTGACTGCATGTTTACGGGTGTTTGATCATCGACTATGAGTGCAAGCAAGATGGAATTGTGTGTGTCTTTGCAGGCACTGGAGACAGGGTGTTGTGTTTCCGGTGTGGCGGGGGCCTGAAAGGTTGGCAGCCTGAAGAAGACCCTTGGGAAGAACATGCCAAACACTACCCTGGGTGAGAAAAACGATGATTATCCTCTTTCTTATCTTAAAAAAACTCTCTTTAATGTTTTGTTGGGGCATTTGATTTTTTTTTAATAAAATTGTGTTGTTGTTTTTTTTTTTAAATTTTATCAGATGCAGCTTCCTGTTGACAGAAAAAGGACAAGAATATGTCAACAGTATCCAGCTACAAGACCCACGACGCAACAGAACTGTAAGCATTTGGTGCTTTTACATGCATTTAAGGAACTGAGTTAAGGTGGATTTGATTTTATAATGTAAACCAGAAACTGTCTTTCCTTAATCAGGATCAGGGCTTAGAGTAACTCGGTGACACTCCTAAATTCCTGGCCACTGATATGCTTCACCGGATGCCGAGTGTTGCACATACATGGGACACAGCTAAACAATTGCTGGGACAGCGGTGCTTTACGATAAAAGGAAATATTAGTACTCAGAATGGTGATATTTTGTTTTAGTACTGAATGGGGTTTTTTCCATGCCATGGCTCAGGAAAGGGGACCTAAGGTTGTTTTTAGGACAACATTATCTCTCGAAAGCCTCGGTTGACCTTTTTTGACTGCATTTCAACAAAGGGGCAGCTTCTGGTCCCCAATTTCTTGAATCAAATGTCTTTAAGAGTCTTTGCTGCCAGTGTGGACAATCCATAAGTCCAGTAACTATGGCCATTTTAGATGTTGTTTTAAGACATACTTGTTAACCTATCCTCTAGCTCCGGTCATTTGGGGATTTTATTATAGCGTTGCACAAATTGAAAAATAACTTTTGCTCATCATAATACTTGGTACTAATAATGTTTGTTTTTCTTTTAACGAGTATACAAGATTTGGTTGTGTGGAATTTAAGATGTCACCTGAACCAATGTAATAGAGGGTTTTCTTTTAACTTGAATCATTCAAGACAACCAGTATGATCATGTTTTTGTTTCAGGTTTCAAGTCATCAGAATGGATTTTCTGGACATGGGAATGGTAAAAATTAACTTTATATTTACATCTCTCCCCACTGTGGTGTTTCGAGTTACTCGTAAACAAAATAACGTCAGACGTTAAATCAAGTAGCGGTGTGCGATGATGTTTCCTCTCTGTGTTCAGAGGTGCTGCGGTCGGCCATGGCTCAGAAGGCCGTTGGGATGGGTCTAGAGCCCAGTGTGGTGGAAAAGAGCATCTTGGAGAAAATCAGCAAGACGGGCTCCGACTACTCCACCCTGGAAGAACTTGTTGAGGATAGTCTTAACAACTCACAGGAGGAAGGTACTGTATCTGCTACATGCCATACCAACCTCATGGTGTTGTTGACTGCTACAACAAGTCCTAAGCAGCATTAAAACACATTTTGATCTTTTTTCATTTTCTTGTTTCTAGATGTGGACCCGCTGGAGAAACTGCGGGAGCTGCAGAGAGAGAAACTTTGCAAAATATGTATGGACAGAGATATTGGAATCGTCTTCATCCCATGCGGACATCTGGTGACCTGTACGAAGTGTTCCGAGTCACTCATCAAGTGTCCAATCTGCTGTGGAGCCATAACACAAAAGATCCAGACCTACATCGCCTAACGACATCTCAGACACTTGTCAAACATCAATGCTGCTTTCTCATTGACATTATAATATTGTATTTTAATATAAAATGTAGATACCCTGTGATTTGTGTGTGTGTGTGTGTGTGTGTAGATAATGTAGTTTGTATGTGAATGAGTAATCATCACAATATTTTCACAATCATTCAGATGGTAAATAGCTGATAATATGAGATGGGAGGACATTAGCTGATATGATTTTGTAGGTGAAACTTTAATTTCACATTTGAAATAATGACCACGTTGCAGTCTGTCTTGCCTGAGGTGCCTTTCTCTAGGTCCATGTACTTGTCACATTTGTTTGTTTTATTATGTACATGTGGCAATTGATCTGGACATTGGATGTGATAACAGTTGATTTCACACACTTCTGACTCATCTAGTTAGTACGTCGTACCTGTGGCCTCATATTTCTAACTGTGTGCTGCTTCTTATTGCAACGTGTAAAAGTAGATCATTGACCCATTCCAAATGCTTTAGAGCTGACTTGTATATAAGACTCACAATCGTACAATCTGCAATGAATCAGTGTTGTTTGAAATTATTTTACCATTCCATCTGTTGAGTCATAAAGGGTGAATAAATAGTAATATTTTTGGACTGGGAAAATGTTTTTCTTTGATCAATACTACACTGAAAAGTCCAACTACAACTAGTTTGATTTGGTAGCAGATAAACCGTTTCCTGGTCCCCCATGAGTTTGTTTCCCTTTTCTAAACCAGAAGGCTGCATTTTAGAGTTAGTTCCGTTTTACAGACTACATACGATTTTATCAGCTAGAAGCACTCCTTCTCTACTGTGTACTTTGGGATCAGACATGTTTAACGTGAGGTGAATTCTCTGCCTATTTAACGCTAAATATATATGGTACAAGGGGGGGCAAATAAAGAAAATCCCTGTATCACAAAGATGCATGCATTCATAATGGCAGAATAAAAATACTCCTAATTTCCCCGTGTTGAAGTTAGATAGAATCGACAAAGAGTTGAGACGTGCAGCTTTTTAGTGAGAACAGGCGATAGGAGCCAGTTCGGAAGCGCCATTCTTCAGGCGCAGTGTCAGTAAGTGACCGCTAGAGGTCCGCTCGTCTGCCGTGTGTCCACTGCGGGTGTTGTGGCCGCTAGGTGGTAGCTCTGCACCAGGATTTCCTCTTCCCAGGTCGTCGAAACAACAAACCGAACTACGGAGCAAGCGGGGTGCGAGAACGTCCGAAACCGCCTCTGACCGCGACTTTTAAACTCTTTTTGCAGAATTGTAGTGGGATTCTGACGGAAGCGCTGTAAGAATATTACAAGTTACGCTTCTGCCGGGACTGCATTTTACAACAAGGTAAGTTAGCTGTAAAATGGCGGAGAGCTATCTGGAAGTTAGTTGATTTGTATTTTGCTAGCCGTTTAGCTAGCCAGGCTAGCGCTAGAAGCCCTGAGCGCGGATGCCTGAACCAAGTCGCTTCGCTAGCTCGCGTACATAGCTACTTTGCTTGTTAGCAAGCTAACGACCTGAGTTTTTGGCACAGTAACGCAAGAATATTTCGTTGGTATCTAGACTAAGCGTTTTATGGTTTCCAGCAACTTATTTGCACTTTATATATTTGTAAACAAAGTGTTAGTTGCTTATGCAATACGGCACTGGAACTCCCGAGGCAAGATGGAGGACGCAAGGACGTGATGTTTTTTTAGGGAACGCTAGCAGTAGCTGTTAGCATAGCTAACCAGTCGTAGTTATCACCAGCTCCTTTTTTTGCAACACAACGTTATATGGCAGGTTTATTTGCTTTGCCCTCTGGCTGGCTCTGGGTTCGACTGGTGGTTAGTCCGAACGTCGTCATTCTCCCCGGAAACATTGTTGACCAGCGTTATTGTGTACTAGCCGATATTAGCATGCGCTGGTACAGTAGGGCTTGCGTTGTTTTGTTATTATGCTCCCAAGTAAGATAGCGCTGAAAAAACACTTGAATGTTCTCACTCTCTAAATAAAATGCAAGGCACATGTCTATCGTCCTTCTGGTCCGGTAAATCACAGCCGGTTCGCACTGAGTCCAGCATGCTTACGCGATCCAATTCCAACTAGCTTGACGCTGGTGGAAAAAGAACGCTAAAACCCTCCGCTGCTTAGCTAGCGGCGCTAGCACCTAGCCGCGCACCGGCGTCAATTTTGACAGGAGCCGACGAAGAGCGTAGCCGCGCCGGCGTGGTTAGAGGGAACCGAGCGGGTAGTTTGTGTATCGGTGAATTGCAGAAACGTACGTCGTTGGGTTTCGCTGCCGTGTTTTTTAATGTAAGCGCGCCTTGTCTCGCTTGGCAGTAACAGGTTTATGAGATACACTGACCGATTTGGCGCCACTTTTTCAGTCTACACCCATAGAATCCCTTCGTCTTCGTGTGCTGCATCTCTCCCACTATCGAGGAAATAAGCGCCATCGCATATTCGCAGTTAAATTAAAGTCAAAGTCATAGCTACCTAATTCATAGTGTGGTTTAATGCGTCTACGTTGACTATGATGGTTTTTTGCTTTGATCTTTGTATAAACCTAAAACGTGTGCCTGGGAATATCCCCAATGTGCCATATGTGGGCCATGATCACATGATAATGTGAGAGAATCCCCTTACTAATATTATATCTGATTTATATGTGACAATTTCATTGACATTTTTTGTATCACTCCCCACTAACGCCAAAATATGATTTAATCAATACTAGTGACACACATGTGTGTCGGGTTTGCGAGACAAAAAGACGTAGCCAGTGGGTACATTATAATTGTAGTTGAGGGTTTAGCTCTAAGCAGATGTCTCTAAGGTGGTTTTATTGTCCTCCTTCACTCCTAAAAAAGGCATTTTTATTTCTGAAAGAAGCACCACGTCGGAATCCTAATTTTGAATGTTTTTCTCAGGTCTTCTTTGAAATGTGTGCCACCAATTTACACATCACAACCATGCATATTTTTTTCTTCGTCTGTGGCCTGCGGTATCTTGTTGATGTTGATACTTTCTTTTGATTGGTTGAGACGTGTATGGGGCGGATAGAGCGGTGCCGTATTTGGCCACGGAGGAAGACCCTCCAGTGTTTCTCGCGTGACGTCAGTAAGCCCCGGGGAGCAGAGAAAGCGAGGGAGCCAATGGCCGGACAGCTGAGCGTGACAGGAGCGTTAGGGCACGCCCACTGTTACCATGTGAAACCGGGTTTTTTTTCTCCCTCTCAAAGACTTTGAAGAAACATTTTCTCACCACGGAGGATGTGATGTGTGATAGTGTGTGCATATTTGATATGTGTACTTGTAGTATTAATTGTTTATACTGTGTTGAAATGAGGAATCACCAAGTATTTCTCTATAAATGACTGTCATGTGTTTATATATATGTATTCTAGGTCACATGCAACCTTTGCTGTCTTGTAATTTCTGAGGATCCACGCCAGTCATAAGTTGAAGTTATCCAGAAGATGTTACAGAAATGATAGCAGCACCAGAAATACCATCAGAGTTCACCTTTACTCAGTAAGTGTTTTTTTTCTATCTTACATTTTCTGTAGCTTGAGATTTTATATGAATTTTCATTCTGATATTTGTGCACCAGGGATACAGACACCCGATTCTCTTCAGACACAGACTTCTCCGAGGATCTCGATGGAAGGAGTACAACCTCAGCTAAAGGAAAGGTATATAAAGCACAAGTGGCCATATGCTTTTGGCCTGGATCAGGACAACCTGGTCAAATAACACTTTTACATCCAATTATTGATTAGTGTGACAAGCACATTCAATTAGCCTTGTGTTCTCTGCAATGATTATCAATCTTAACAATGTGTTATGGTCTTCTATTCTTTTAAAGGGTGGAAAGAAGGGGAAGAAAGCAGCAGGGGAGAAAGGCAAAGGAGGAAAGGGAGCAGGCCGGATAAATGGCCACCACCAGGAGAATGGCATGGAAAACATGATGCTGTTTGAGGTGGTGAAGCTGGGCCGAAGTGCAATGCAGGTATGAAAGACAAGATATTTGAGATTGCCCACTATGAGAATCATTTCTTTTGCACGACTGAAAATAACTAATGGCAGGCAATGTTAATTGACTTTTTTTTATTGCATCCATCCCTCGTTTGATGCAGTCTGTCGTTGATGACTGGATTGAGTCTTACAAGCATGACAGAGATGTTGCGCTACTAGATCTCATCAATTTTTTCATCCAGTGCTCGGGATGTAAAGGTATGTGGTCTGTTACGGCGTCTTTAATAGGGAACCACGGATATTTGTTTCCTCCGTTCTCCCCGAGTTGGTCTACCTGACTGTAAATTGTCCTCTGTTTAACTCCTGTGTGCATCAGGTGTGGTCAGTGGAGAAATGTTCCGCAACATGCAGAACTCTGAGATCATCCGGCGAATGACTGAGGAATTTGATGAGGTAACTTCATGTTTTCTGTTATAATTGTTGCCTCATTCACCAGGACTAGTTAACGTGTCATTAAAGATTGAACACCACTTTTAGTATAATGATTTTATGCCAAAGGGCAACTGGCTGCCTTCTTTGGTTGGTAGTTAAGTTGTTAGTTGTTTGCATTAATTGACATTCCTCCCCCTGTAGGACAGTGGTGACTACCCTCTAACCATTGCCGGACCACAATGGAAAAAGTTCAAATCCAGTTTTTGTGAATTCATTTCGGTGCTCGTGCGCCAGTGTCAATACAGTATCATCTATGATGAGTACATGATGGACACAGTCATCTCCCTTCTCACCGGACTATCAGACTCTCAAGTCCGAGCCTTCAGACACACCTCAACACTGGCAGGTAAGATGAAGTGTGTGTGTGTGTGTGTGTGTGTGTGTGTCCCAGCTGAGGAGCAGTAACTGACGTGTTCTTTAAGTACACCGAGTTGATAGCTGTACGGGAAAAGTAGCACTTGGAAGGGCTCTGCAGGCGTAGTTGGCCATATAGTGTTGTGCGTTATGTATATGTTGATTATAACAACTGATTAAAGCCAAAATACACTGATGTCTTTTTCCTCATTCGTTGGAATAACTTTTATTTTTATTTAACTGCTAATGTAGAAATAATGAAGCCAAACAAAGTGTCAGAGTGCAGATGAGGTGCTCCACATCTGCCAAACGCCTACAGAACCCACACAGCCAATTTCATTCATGCGGCAGCATTATACATTTGTCAAGAACGCAAGTAATTGAGCGTGTGGGCCGTGTGACAACAGAACATTTGTGTAACGTTCTTTCAAGGAAACCATCTTTGTCCTTACCTGTTTATGTACAGCTGTGAAGGGGTTTTGTTGCCTTCATGTTTTGATGCTGTCTCCGTACCCGGCTGTGAGGTCGGAGAGGGTCTAACTCTACTACGCAGAGCTATTTTAGGTGCTAGTAATGTGTGTAATTATTAGTTCCTGCGCCTAGGTAATACAGTAAATGGTGCAGCTACAAATTTATAATCTTGTTGTGTGGAGGTTGTATAATTTCCAATTTTTTGTCCCATTCAATTGTTTATTTTTTGTATAAAAGGGCCGTGTTTCCCCTGGGTTTACAACCTGGGGTGGCTAGTAGGGGACCGTCACGTGCGCGCATACACGGTCATACTTGTGCATGTGTCTCTGCGGAAATTAAGTTTTTTTATTT